TTGAAGATAAAACTTTTCTATTCTGTGTACTGAAAAACAGTTCAGGAAGATCAAAATTTTTACACCTTTGTTATCGTCTGTTGACGAACACAGGAGACATGTCGGAATCATCAAAGAAAATTGGCTTCCAATTAGATCGATATTCAATTACCTAGACAAGAGAAACGCTTTAAAAGCATCCCTTTATCCAGTTTCATTTTAGATTTTTAAATATTTGCTTTTCAGCTCCACAAATAGTCTCTTAGTTTTGTGTGCATTCCTAAAGTTTTTCTTTCTGGTATTTATTGGAAAATATAAGAGAAGTCGAATTTCAAAGTTATAATAATGCTTCAGAAATTTAAAAAAATATTTATTTCTTAGTGATATTAATAACAAACACGTTTAAGTTAATGTTTAGTTTATTTTGAGTTTCGCGCAAACTTACACGAGGGTTATCTGAGCTAGTCGTCCCTAATTTAGCACTGATAGACTAGATGGAAGGCAGCTCAAGTTAACATTACACACCACCAACAGAGAGTGGGATTGAACGTCACATTATAACGCCCTCTTCATGATAGCGATGTTGTTTGCTGCTCATTGATGTACTTCGATCAAACTGACAGTTGGAGTTTTCGTAACTGAAACGCCATTTCTTTAGAAGTAATATCATTATGACGACAAAGGTAGGTGTAAATGTGGAAAATATTTTCCTTTGTTGTTCAAAATACCTATTCTTGCCAACGATTATTGTGCTTTGGTCAAACTGACAGTAGGAGCTTACGAAACTGAAACGCCATTTCTTTAGAAATAAGATCATTATGACGACAAAGGTAGGTGTAAATGTGGAAAATATTTTCCTTTGTTGTTCAAAATACCTATTCTTGCCAACGATTATTGTGCTTTGGTCAAACTGACAGTAGAAGTTTACGTAACTGAAACGATATTTCCTTAGAAACAAAATTGTAATGACGACAAAGGCATGTGTAAATGTGGGAAATGTCTTCTTTCGTGTTTCAAAAATAACTATTCTTGCTACTCCAAAAAAAGTGATCGTTTCTGGAGAATAACTCGAAAGACATTTTCCTAATGCCAATTAGAGGCTTTACAACGTCCTTGAAGTTTAATTTCAGTGTATTGTTATCGGCTACACGAGGGCTACCTGCACTAGCCGTCCCTAATTTAACAATGTAAGACTAAAGGGAAGGCAGCTAGTCATCACCACCCACCGCCAACTCTTGGGCTACTCTTTCTACCAACGAATAGTGGGATTGACCGTCACATTATAACGCCCCCACGGCTGAAAGGGCGAGCATGTTCGGTGAGACGGAGATTTCTAATAAGAAGTTGCTATAACAACTTAGTTTCTCTTAGATGCATCAAATAGAAAAAATATATTGAAGTGATCATTCAATACGGTTAATGGGTTTTATTCTTTCGAAAACTGTTCAACTGTAGCAACTGTTCAAAAATATATGTCAAATTCTAATTGTCAACTTGATATGTTTATATTACAAAATAAAACAATTGCATATAAAAGCCCCCCCCCCCAGTAGCACAGCGGTATGTCTGCGGACCTACAACGCTAGAAACCGGGTTTCGATACCCGTGGTGGGCAGAACACAGACAGCCCATTGTGTAGCTTTGTGCTTCACTTCAAACAAACAAGCATATAAAAAGTTAAAAAAAAACTGAAAAAAGACTTCACTGCATAACTTGTCAAGCCATCATTTTCTAAAGATAATGTCTGAATTTAAAAAAAGAGAAGAAAGACTGAAAACAATCTCTAATCGCAGTAGACGATAACCGATTGCTCAAATTCTCTCAACGATTTTGCTAGAGTTTCGGTTGGATGCACGAATAAGAAGAATTCAGATGCAGTTATCAGAAGGAACATTACTACCATGGAAGAAGCAAAAGAGAAAAAAAATACTTTCAAAGTCGATACGACATTGATTATAGGGTTCTTTACGCTTTTCACTGAATTGTTGATGAGTTCAGCCATCAGAAGATCATTTGCCCAAACCAGGTAACTTGTTGTATACTCCTTTTATGTTAACATGTTGTTTTTGTTTGAATCAATTACATCTCAGAGATTCGGAGTAAATCCAACACCCAGCAAAGATAAACATTCTAAATATCTTTACGTTTACAACCACATCAGTGATTTCAGCATTTAAGTTTAATAGTTCCTGCATTATGTAGAATATCATAGCTATAGTATTATTTTATGTTGGATTTTTCAGACGTCCCCTTTTGCACAAATTCAATCATCAAATTCTACTCCTGAATTTTTCTTTTAAGAAATAAAGCTCCAAAAATAATGCTAGTAGTGTGACTTAATCTACACGAAAGTGATTTAGTTAAAGTTTTAATTCTGACTCAAAACAATAAATATTTATAAATAACTTCAATAAATTAAAGATTGCACACTAAAAAGTTTAATTCATTTTAAATATCTACAGTATTACAGAATTCATTGTAAACAAAATAACACTTAGCTTAACGAAATCCACGTTGTTAAACAGCTAACTAAGATTGTTTTAAGAAAGTTCGAGGATCATTCCGAATTAAATAATAATTAGTTCCATTTCGGAAAAAAAAACACAACTATTTTTACGATATAACCATATGGAAAACTGAATAACAAAGGTTAACAGAAAGCAAGTGAATTTAACAAAAATATTCCATCCAACTGGAAAGTAGCTAAAACTGGATATTGAAGAACTGTCAGGAACCTAAGATACCTTGCGTTTTTATTTCTAATGCTAAAATTTTCCTTATAGTAGGTTTACGTTTGTTCAGTATGAAATCAAGTAACCGCGAAAATGAATAAAATAATGACTATATTTTGAAATTATATTACACTTTCAAAAGTCTATAATTGATTATTCATACTTGATTACAATAATACAGGTTATACAATGTCATCTGGTGTAAGAAATAGACCCCTAATAGAATAAGAACTAACGTGTGCAACATAAACTAGCAAATTTTTCGTATGACATTTATCGTAAATATGCATTTACATTCTTCTGTCAAAAGTATTCAGACACCCCTATAAAGTGTAGTATAGACCACCCAATGTGTCACAATTATCTGCAAGAGAACTTAATGAGTGTTAATACAGCAACACAACAAATATGTAGAATAGTACAGTTTCAGTGTTTGCAAGATTCCAAAACGTTTTGACAAACTTAGAGTATGAGGGAAGATCATAATCTACTGGATAATGTGAATCGAGAGAATTAGTAACATTAAAAAGTATCTTGTGATTTATTTTTTAGGGACTGGTTAAATTATAGTGAGGAATGGATAAATTGATTGAACCTCATTTAAAAAAGTTTCAGACTGACCGAAAGTCCTGTCACATCTTGACAAACTTTTATACATTAAGAGTGTAAAATATGCTGATAATAATCTTTTGCAACAAATCCATAGTGACTTTATGGCATCCAGTGTTGCTACATTAGAATGTGCAACAACTATGAGGTTAGTGCAGCGTGCTTTCGCGCAAGTTCGTGTTAAAAAAAAAAAAAAAAGTAAGGGTCTGAAGGTGAGTAGGTGCACAAGGTGGTATTGTGGCAATTGTAAATCTCTGTGACGGTGGGGAATCTGTAATCTATCTGACTAGACTCCATGTTATAATCCTATAGAGCATCTTTTGAAGCATATTCAGGTTATTTGGTTATTCAGACTAGGGACAGTACCACACCGTTTTAGTAGCTACCAAAGCTAGGCATAGTACTACAATGTTTTAGTAGTTATCCAGGTTAAGGACAGTATTATATCGTTTTAGCAGTTATCCAGGTTAGGGACAGTACGACACCGTTTTAGCAGTTATCCAGGTTAGAGACAGTACTTCCCCATATTAGCAGTTATCCAGGTTGACGGTACTGCAACACCTTTATAGCATTTATACAGTCTGGGAACAGTATATCCAGGTTAGAGACAGTAGTACACCGTTTTAGCTGTTATCAAAGCTAGAGATAGTACGACACCGTTTTAGCAGTTATCCAGGTTAGAGACAGTACTTCCCCATATTAGCAGTTATCCAGGTTGACGGTACTGCAACACCTTTATAGCATTTATACAGTCTGGGAACAGTATATCCAGGTTAGGGACAGTAGTACACCGTTTTAGCTGTTATCAAAGCTAGAGATAGTACGCCAACGTTATAGAGTAGTTATAGACACTAGAGACAACCTCTCTGTCCAAACACTGTTTATTAACCGAATAGAGTTATCCTGTCTTCTAATTTTCTTTCCTTTTGGTAGTGTAGTGGAAAGCTTAGTTTGACCAATTCTGTTTTTCCAAGCTCTATTTCAATTGAATAAAACTCATCTCCATTTTAATACATTATTGGTATACTTTAGAACTATACACGAAGCGCCCAGGGGGTGCTAGTACTATAATTACAAAACTTTAACGTGTTTCGACAGAAAACAAATAAGAAAGAGCAAGAGAGTTGAGTAAACCTTTATAAGTATGTATAATCGAAGACTTTAGAGAATGCTACATTTCATTCTTCCTTAAATGTTTAGTAATTTGATCGAACATAAAACATTAGTCCTGTAAATCAAATATCTCGTGGGTATACAATTAGGAATGTATTATAACCACAGTTAAACGTCTCACGTTAATGATTAGTAAGCAACTTGGCAATGGGAATTAAAAGTTAAGTCACTATGGTAATATACATTTTTCAATAAACTGATTACTCCAAAGACCTGCCAAAAATTAAGCTTTATTTCACTAAAGTGTAATATTGAGAAAGAAGACTAATATATATACTAATTTATGAAGATTAACTGCACAAATACAAGGACTATGAAGATTAACTGCACAAATACAAAGACTTTCTCAAATGATCTTGACATCTTTTCAGCATTCGTTATGCTATAATATCATCCATTAGAAATTTTCCCCATTATATATAAACATTTAATATATATATATATATATATACGGATAAACATTTTTAATGTGTTAAAGTATTAAGAAACATAGCAAACATTGAAACCTTGAGAGTTCTGCAGCTTTATTTCAGAAGTTAAGAAAGTCCGTCTACAAAGAAACAGCTTTTACTACACAATATTACATGACCATAATGCCCATTGATTCGTCGCTACTACTTATTCATTAGTTTAGTAAACGTCATGCACTACAGAAACTATACGTTATTATCACTAAATCATTTCTGTCTACTGACAGCACACTAAAACAAAGTCATTATATAGAAGTGGTAGTTGTATAAAATATTTATTTATAACCAAACACTAATTTTTGGATCCCTAACGACTGTCATGTCAACACAAAAATGGAGATTTCTACCATTGGTGATTATACCCTTCCTTAAACCTTCTATACGTTCTACTACATTTCAAATAAATGTAAGTACACCATGCGTCAGTGGGTAAAAACATGGTCGCGGTTAGTTGTGAGTCCAACCCTAACCTCCGTTACTCATATTCTTATCTGTTATCTTTACAGCTGATTTCTTTAGATAATGTTAGCACGTTTTTTACACTGTTGTAACGTTGTGAAAGTATGATGTAACAATACTACCACACAATATTGGAGTAAGCCAGTATCTGCAAAATCACCTGACACGCAGATCTCGACTGAAAAAACAAAATCAAAACCAAACAAATAAAAATGCAAGTACTGTATGTAAGTGACCATTGTCAAATACAGAATAGCTATACATATAAACGTATATGTGCGTAGTGATCTATAAGCTGTGTCAAGTGTATGAGACGTTCTTCATTACTCAGTATGTTACAAGTTAATCAGCACATAGCAAGTAATATGTTACAAGTTCATCAGCACATAGAAAGTAATACGTTACAAGCTAATCAGCACAAATCAAGTAATACGTTACAAGCTAATCAGCACATAGCAAGTAATATGTTACAAGTTCATCAGCACATAGAAAGTAATACGTTACAAGCTAATAAGCACAAATCAAGTAATACGTTACAAGCTAATCAGCACATAGCAAGTAATACGTTACAAGCTAATAAGCACATATCAAGTAATATGTTACAAGCTAATCAGCACATAGCAAATAACATGTTACAAGCTAATCAGCACATAGCAAGTAATACGTTACAAGCTAATAAGCACAAATCAAGTAATATGTTACAAGCTAATCAGCACATAGCAAGTAATACGTTACAAGCTAATCAACACATAGCAAGTAATACGTTACAAGCTAATAAGCACAAATCAAGTAATATGTTACAAGCTAATCAGCACATAGCAAGTAATACGTTACAAGCTAATCAACACATATCAAGTAACATGTTACAAGCTAATAAGCACATATCAAGTAACAGGTTACAAGCTAATAAGCACATAGAAAGTAATACGTTACAAGCTAATCAGCACATAGAAAGTAATACGTTACAAGTTCATCAGCACATAGAAAGTAATACGTTACAAGCTAATCAGCACATAGCAAGTAACATGTTACAAGCTAATCAGCACATAGCAAGTAATACGTTACAAGCTAATCAACACATATCAAGTAATACGTTACAAGCTAATCAACACATATCAAGTAACATGTTACAAGCTAATAAGCACATAGAAAGTAATACGTTACAAGCTAATCAACACATAGCAAGTAATACGTTACAAGCTAATAAGCACAAATCAAGTAATATGTTACAAGCTAATCAGCACATAGCAAGTAATACGTTACAAGCTAATCAACACATAGCAAGTAATATGTTACAAGCTAATAAGCACATATCAAGTAACATGTTACAAGCTAATCAGCACATAGCAAGTAATACGTTACAAGCTAATCAGTACAAACCAATTAATATGTTACAAACAGTCACCATGCACCAATTAGCACGTTACAAATCAATCACAACATAACAATTTATAGTTTCCTCTGTATTTACTTACCTAATTTCTCTCGTAGATTACAAAGCCATACATTACTCAGGAAATAATAATTTATACGCCCACTTATTCGTTAATAATAACCAATATGTATATCTTTTTTCAATACATTAATGTTGTTACGTGCTAATCCACAAACGTTTACTACTGAACTATGTATGAACCAGTACGAACTGACTTTGACATTGTTTTGTCAATGCACTGCTCACTATTTACATTGATAATTACTTTATGTAATAGAACTACAGTTTACATTATCCTAATAACATATTTTATAACAACGTTTGGGAGATACCACACAGAAACTATAATTTTTAGCACTAAGATATCCTTGTGTTAAGGTTTCTTGTGACATCCGAGCCACGTCGGAATACAATATATATATATATATATCATAATTTGATAGAATAATTAAATAAATGGTAACTTACATTGCACAAATTTAATATAGTAAAGTTAGTTTTAAATTATGATTTTCATAATCTAACTATTGATGATTAAATACACAAAATAAAACATTTAATTTAAGAAAACAAGCTCGTCTGTTTGCTCGAACAAATTAGTTATTTATATATTTTTCTTGAACACTGATTATGTAATCATTCATTGTACTTCTCTTTGTCTTTATTGGCCATACTTATACGTAAATATTCATTGTGGTTGGTGGGATCTCTCAGTACTTTTCTGGGCCCTTCGTTATTGGCCATACTTATATGTAAATGTTCATTGTGGTTGGTGGGATCTCTCTGTACTTTTCTTGACCTTTCTTTATTGGCCATACGTATATGTAAATATTAATTGTGGTTGGTGGGATCTCTCTCCGTACTTTTATTTGTCATAACTCCTGATTGCTGACCAGATGTATAATGACCTCGAACATTGTCAGGTTATCCATTCTTGTCAATGATAGATAATGGCCGGAGACTAGGTCTAACATATAGTACCACCTACATTTTTGAGCACGAACGAATTGTCTTTGTACTTGTCCACTGAATAAGAAAAGAACTGCGACTATCACTGTAGAATAAGCTGTCCCTGTATCTGACCGTAGCCTCTGTAATGGATGCCAGGTGGAAATCACGTGATCGTCCAGAGGTCGTTAGCCATTGTCCTGACTACAAAGAAAAGGAGCAAGGGACGCTGAAAGCTGGTTTTTATAGAGCCACTTGTTCCTGCTGAAGTAAAAAAATAATACCATGAGGTTACAGGTTTTCGTCCATTTAAAAATTAGTTTAAAAATTTTAAAAACAGATATGCATACAATCCATTTTACTGCGTATTTTCTGCACGTTATGACCATTTCAGATTCGCGTCACAATTTTTCACCAGTTAAATACGGCTCTTGGATTTTCTAGTTTTTAGAATTATCAAATTATCAGTGCTGATTTATCAGAAGGTCAAATTTTGAAAATCAAAGCTGAATCATACGGGGTCTGTATTAATTTTAAATATTCTCATTTGTTGGACGATAAAAACAATATTCCACGAACTGAACAGAGGACAGTTTTGATCGCCACACTTGTAGGAAACGCTCTTACTGTCTTTTCTTCAACTGTGACATAAAACTATAACCAAAACTCGGTGAAATGTTGAACTACACCTCAAAGAATGTAAATACACAATTGTTAATAAATCAAATAAAAATGTTATTGCCTTGAGCAAAATATGAAATAAAAATTCCAATAATTGTTGCAGTAGCTCATCCAAAAATATTATGATACCAATCAAAAACCGTTAAAAATATTTACACTAACCAAAGAAATAATTTACGTACGAATACGTATTTATATCCACTGTTATAACATGTTTATGTTATAACATTGTTTGTTTTTCGAATGTCTCTAATCGGAATTGATTAACAGATGTGATACGTTTAGGATTAAAAGTTCTCCATGCTTTCCTCAAGACTTACACAGGACTAACATAAGAGACGAAACACTCAATCCATGAATATTAACATTGCGGAAATTTCTTATTCACGAGGCTGCACAATGGGCTATCTGTGCTGTGGCCAAGGCAGGGATTGAGCCCTGGATTTTAATGCATGCTTACCGCTGAGTCGCCAGCGAAGAAGTCTAGAAACAACGTATGTAATTTCCACAAATCCAATACACACTCAAACTTCTTATGTAATTTAACCCCGGACATGATTCTATAAAGATAGTTTTATTAGTTCATGTATTTAGTATTTCAATTCTAATGCACTGAGGGTATCAGATAGGAAACATAAAAATATTTCAATCGAAACATATAAACGAGCACTGACACTTAAGCCAGTACGAATTAAGATGATAAAGTTTAGTTTTTAGAAGTAAAGTTCGGATACATAATGTAAAAGTACTTTTTATTTCATTAATTAAACGGCGAAGTTTGACGCTAGCTATTAGCTTCTTTATCTCTAGAATTACCAATGGAGGTCACCTCTTTTTAAAACTGTTTATGCAACAAATTACTTGAAGATCTATGGTATTATAAGTACAAAGTCACTAATAACGTGTGTGTCACACAGAAAAAAATATTGGTTTTTTTTGGTTTATAGTTAAGTACAAAGCTACACAAAGCTCTGCCTACCACGGGTATCGAAACCGGGTTTCTAGCGGTGCAGAAAAAATAAATCACTATGAATATTGCACTTAATCCCACTAATGAGCTGCACAGAAGTAAAATAAAATAACTTTTGATATCTCAATTAATATTAATTCGTACTTTGTGTTTGTGAATTTGTTTATTTTTCCGCCAACTCTTTCTACAGTTTTGGAGCCAGTAGGCCCTATGTAGTCCAATGGAAGTTCTTAACTATATGGTGCTTCCACCTATCAAGGGGAACTAAACCAAAGAATTTCATTTTGTGGTTTCGTTATTTCGAGAAATTATGATGGCATTCGTATTTACTTAAATGTTTTGTTTTAATAATATTTACGGTACACGGTAAGATCTGATGAAAGAAATAAGTGTTTAAAGTTTTTCCCCGTATTTGAATATTTCTATAAGACAAGAGAGAGGGAGAGGGGTTAGTATCATTTATTTTTGCTTCAGACAACAACACCTTCTGCAGAAAACGAATTAGTTTAATATATTACGCAATTAACTACATTTTAATTCATTACCAAAAGGCGAAACGACAGGAATTTCTTTAGTTGTTCAAATAATTCATTAAATACTTCTAAGACACTATTTGTGAAAACGTTACATCTATAACCTCTGATCATATTAATATCATAAACTTTCACGGATATGAATGTATAATTTCCCCAGTAACGCATAATAATTTCTAAGTCAATTCATTCCTTAATTAAAAGATGAATTTGTTTTCCCTTCTGTTAATTAATTGTATTTTGTTTAATTTATCGAGTATAGATGTTTTCAGTCAACGGTGCGAAATTCTAGTTTTTAAATTATCAAAATCTTTTAAATAACATACATTGCTTAATGCAACGATTAAGTTAAATAGATAGATAGATAGAAAGAAAGATGGATAGATATAATGAAAGAAAGAAAGATAGATAGATATAATGAAAGAAAGAAAGATAGATAGATATAATGAAAGAAAGAAAAATAGATAAATAGATACATACATAGATACATATATAGATGAATAGAGAGATAGAAAAATAGAAAGAATGAAAGATACATAGATAGATACATATATAGATGAATAGAGAGATAGAAAAATAGAAAGAATGAAAGATACATATATAGATGAATAGAGAGATAGAAAAATAGAAAGAATGAAAGATACATAGATAGATACATATATAGATGAATAGAGAGATAGAAAAATAGAAAGAATGAAAGATACATAGATAGATACATATAAAGATGAATAGAGAGATAGAAAAATAGAAAGAATGAAAGATACATAAATAGATAGAAAGATAGAAAGAACGATACATAAATAGATAGAAAGCTACATACACAGATAGAAAAATAGAAAGAAAGATACATAAATAGATAGAAAGATAGAAACAAGGAAAGATACATTAATAGATAGAAAGATAGAAAGAACGATACATTAATAGATAGAAAGATAGAAAGAACGATACATTAATAGATAGAAAGATAGAAAGAACGATACATTAATAGATAGAAAGATAGAAAGAACGATACATTAATAGATAGAAAGATAGAAAGAACGATACATATATGGATAGAAAGATAGAAAGAACGATACATATATAGAAAGAACGATACATATATAGATAGAAAGAAAGATACATAGATCTTTATGAATCTGTCGGTAACATCATAGAAATATAAAGACGGATATGCAGTGACAAATGAAACTGTCAATTGTTTTGACTGTCAGCTTGATCTGTCACTCCATCATGGGGTGTACCTTGAGGCCCTGGATTGATGTTGCCGTTTTGGAATCCCTTGGAGGACTTCTCAGAGCCTAGACTTTGATGCTTCGGAAAATCTATAATGAAGTAGAACACAACAAAATATTGTCAGAGTCTTCGAGTGATATTCGTTCATAGAGTTTTGGCTAAATAATAGGTAAGAGTGTAGTACGTAGTGTCAAAACAAAGAAACCCATGCTGTTTATATTCTTCCGTAAATAACTCTGTAATCAATATCCCTCCATTGTGTAATATGACTCGCAAAGCTCTCTAATAAAGAATCAACTTTCTAAGCCTAATGGTGTAGATGCATCAACATAGTTAATTTTCTTTCTGGAAAGAACCCTTGGCTATATTCCAATAATTTCACTCTGATGAATTGGCCTCCGAAAAGAAAAACAAATAAAAATAAATCTGCAACTCCCCTGGATTTGTTTGTAAAAGATGCTTGGAGAAAAACAAAAGAAAAATACGAGCAGTAGATAAATCCGAAAATGTATTATTTTCTCAAACTACAGTTTTATACAAAATATTAACATTCACTGTGTGCACATTGTCCTTTTTTTTTCCTGAATTTTAAATAACGTTCCATTTCTCCTGCATTTCTTTCCCCCTTCTGATTACAAGATGTAAAAACAGCAGCTGATTTCTTGGCTTCCTATGTTGAAAGGAATATACAGTTGTACTTCTAAGTTTTTGTTCGTTTGAGATTTCCACTCAAAGCTACACAAAGACTATCTACGCATAATTGTCTATAATAAGTTTCAACTGGCAGAAGAGACGGAAGGCAAGGAGGCAACGGGTTCACGAACCATGAATCTTTGGATTCACAGTCCAAGCACGCTAACAACTAGACTACGCTTTGTCATTGCCTTTAGTAATCTAATTATTGAACTTCCACATCTTCTATATGAATACTGTTATAAAAAAGTGGCTGAAGTTAGAACAATGTTATTTAATGAATATTGTCATAAAAAGTGGCTGAACTTAGAACAATGGTATTTAATGAATATTGTCATAAAAAGTGGCTGAAGTTATAACAATGGTATTTAAGTAATTCTGTTATAAAAATAGGCTGAACTTAGAACACTGATATTTAATGAATATTGTCATAAAAAGTGGCTGAAGTTAGAACAATGATATTTAATGAATATTTTCATAAAAAGTGGCTGAAGTTAGAACAATGGTATTTAATGAATACTGTTAAAAAAACGTGGCTGAACCTAGAACAATGGTATTTAAGTAATACTGTTATAAAAGTGGCTAAACTTAGAACAATGGTATTTAAGTAATACTGTTATAAAAAGTGGCTAAACTTAGAACAATGGTATTTAAGTAATACTGTTATAAAAAGATGGCTGAACTTAGAACAATGGTATTTAAGAACTTAATTTGTATTTTCTTAGTGCAAAGCTACAAAATGGGCTATCTGTACTCTGTCCACAAATGGAAATCATACATAGACGTTAGCGTTGTAAATCCGGGAGACGAATCCTTATGAGATACAGTTAAGAGAGATATTTTAAGAACATCTAGTTTTTTTGTTTTTTTAGGATGAGAGGGGTGATTCAGTTAATTCTGTAATTTTGGCACAATCTAGAATTAATTCTTAATTCAACGTTTACTCCTCTTCTAATACCTAACATAAAACTATACCATTTTCAACGTCTTCCAAATACATATTCGCTCTAACAACCTCTATAAAAGTTGTCTCCTTTTTTTCTTATTCATTTATAATGTGTAGCTATAATAACTATATAGCAAGGTTTGAGTCTCTTAAAGCTTCAGTGTTTATCTTAGTATAGAAAAATAGTTATGTGAAACATAATAAATATAATTAGGACAAAGCTGGAGTCTTTTGGAGCTTCAGTGTTTATCGTAGTATAGAAAATTAATTTATTGAAACATAATAAATATAATTATAGCAAAGCTGGAGTCATTTGGAGCTTCAGTGTTTATCGTAGTATAGAAAAATAATTATGTGAAACACAATAAATATAATTATAGCAAAGCTGGAGTCTTTTGGAGCTTCAGTGTTTATCGTAGTATAGAAAAATAATTATGTGAAACATAATAAATATAATTATAGCAAAGCTGGAGTCTTTTGGAGCTTCTATGTTTATTGTAGTATAGAAAAATAATTATGTGAAACATAATAAACTCATCTAAAAGTAGTTTTAATCTATTTCCTTTATATGATTAGACTAATAAATCTTCGATCCTTCTACACATTAAATGGGGGATAACAAATCCTGTTTCTCATGCATGAAGAACCTCAACTTTGTGTACAAAATAAGGAACGGCGAGCTTCTAGTAGTAACTTTATCATGAGGAAGTAGAGAATGGGAGATCTATCTGTCTAAAGCTAACAGCTGAAGCGGCAACGCCCATGAGGAAGTAGAGAATGGGAGATCTATCTGTCTAAAGCTAACAGTTGAAGCGGCAACGCCGTCCCTAACCTTCGATGATTTTACCAGATTTTATTTCCTGAAACTGACTCATTCCATTCCAGGCACTTTGCAGTTATAAACACCCATTGTGTAAGAAAAGCTGATAGCCCTGATGTGAGATCATCGATAGTATAGTATGATGGAAATTATCTTCCTCCATCATTTCCTTTTTCCGGTGCCGTAAACAATTAACGCCTATACATGATTATTAATCTTAACCGGCAAACATTCAACTCACAAAATGAGTAACAGTTATTAACAAAGAGGTTTGTATTGAGAAATAATAATGACTAGAAAGACTCAATATATATATATCAAGACAAGGCACATTAGCTATATATCAGATGTTTTTAACGAAAATATTGTTGTTGGACATAATAATATGATTGCCTCTCCCCCCCCCCCAAAAAAAAACAACAATTATAAAATTATAATAA